GTATAATAGTACAAGCAACCTATAAAGAGATTTATGTCCAAAAGCAAAGTGCTTGGCTGTGCCACTTGAAGCAGCAAAGCTCCCAGATAGTCTCCCATCTGCCTTTTTCTTACTTTCGAGAAAGATCCATTGTAACACATATGAATGTAATGAGCTAAATTTATGCTTTGTAGTTTCATCTCTCAACCAAGCCAAATGCATATTTCAGAGACTTCATTACAACAGATTTCAAACACTTTCTTGGTAAAGAACCTTACTCAGAAAAGCACCACACTCTAAGCCAGGCTATAAGCATTACTATGAAGGCAGGCGCTAGTTCTGAGTGAATCTTCTTTTGTTGCTTCCCCTTCCTCTTGCAATAAGAAACAGGTTAGTACCAGAAGTGGCATTACATACTAGAATGCTGGACAGAGTGCATGGTGTCAGGATCAGTGAAAATAGTCACCTGTTCTTTGTAACAAAGTGTCATGACAATGCACTTGAATCAGCTGAGGGCATGACTATGCAGAGCAGGAGCTGATTCTTACCATAATAGCACCCAGAGTCTTTATCCCAGTTGAAAGTCAGAAATGTGTAGTTCTGGAGGAATGTTTTCACATACAACAGTTACCAGTGGAGCACTACAACAACTATTCTGCAGCTCCTCCATACAAACTGATGGCAGGCAGATTTATCACAATGAATGATTGTGGAAGTGATGGTGAGAAGTGATGGTGAGAGCATGTCAAGAAATACAATGACCCTACCCTGCCACATTTTTATGGACCTATTTCATTATTAAATGTGGATTGTAGACTTTTAACTTTAATAATGGCAGAAAAATTAAGAAAATCTATAGAAAAACAGATTCATACAGACTAAACTGGCTTTATCCCAAAGAGACGTAGGAAGCATAATGTACGTTTTGTGATTAATGCCATTGAACTTATCAAAAGGAGGAGGAAAAAGCAGCATTTATCTTTCTAGATGCGGAAAAAGCCTTTGATAATGTGTCTTGGTCCTTTTTACTGAAAACCTTTCAAAATTTAGAGTATGAGTTGAGGTTTATGAATTGAATCCAAGCAATTTATACTAAACATGCTATGATTCTTATAAATGGAACATTATGAAACTGACTGCTTTCAAATGAAAAAAGGAACATGACAAGAATGTCCATTATTGTGAAACTAATCAATTACATAAACAGAAGCTCTCCAAAGAGTTTAATGAAAATTGGAAAACTTATTATGAGCAATTTAATATTTAAGAAAGCGGAAAAATATTATTAGAGACTTGTATGGCATGCTAAAGGTATGACATTATTTACAATTGTTTTGATAGATTAGATTAATCTGTTGCTGAACCTTAATCGGGAATTGATTAACTGTGGCTATAGGAGGCAGAAATGTTTGCTTTCCCATGAACTGATTAGATGATGAAATTATATCCTATAAATGTCTGTAATATATCTTGGCATCATTCTTCTTTCACACACACACACAGACACTTTTTTATCTGTATCTTTTTTTTTTTTTTTTTGGTAAAAATAAAAAATGCATTCAGTAGCTGTTCCTTACCTGTAGAGTGCTTTACTTTCAGGTATTCAACATAATGTTGAACATGGAATGTGTATGGTAGGTATTTCATGAGTGGAGCTGGCTAGAGCAGGGGGTCACACTAGATGGCCTGGAAGACCCTTCTGTCTCGCTCTGTTTCTATAATCTGAGCCTTTTTATTTGGGTAAGAATCTACTGCCCGGGTAGGAGCTTATTTTAGCCTAATTTTAATATGTATGTATTTATTTTTATCAATGCAGTTTATCAGAAGTCATAAAATTTGTCATTGTGGTACAGATAGATCATTATAAATAACTTGGTAAGTTTAGTCCTGCTTTGGTACATGATGGCAAAGCAGTGAGTAAAAGAGCTAATTTTGATTACAGTTCTCTCTAGAAAAGAAGCAAGTAGAGAAGGATAGCCATTAGTGTTTTGGAATTACCATCATCCAATCAGTTCATGTGAGGAGGGATGACAATAAATAGTCAAAGTGGGAAATATTAAAGCTCACTGAAGTCCTCCATTAGACTAAAACGTCTAGGTTTTGTTTAAAAACTCACTGTTACTTTTTCTATTGGATAGGTGAAAAAGGTTAATTACAACATGTCCTCCCAGTAAAACATGTCCCTTAGCTTCTTGTAATTGTATGTGTTCTTTGATGTACAGAAGTGAATTATAGAGAATGCATTGTCTATTTAGCGTTTAGTATATACTACACTACAATGCAGCCTTTGTGATCTCCAGCAAAATAATTGCAGAATCATTGGTTGCATTATTATCCACTAAACTTACCTTGATCTACTGTAGAGAGAGGGTCAGTATGTAAACATTTCGTTGCTTGCAGAGAATTGATTTCTCATCTCAAATGTTCAGGCTTGTGAATCTGGATTGGTGCAATTTCTGCCAGGCCTCCTGGGATGTGAACGATGTTGGCTGGAGAATGTCACTTGGGAAAGTACCTTCCTTGAAATAGTCTAGTGACACTTTTTATGTTCCTTTAAAAATGCAATGCAACTGAGAACCAGAGAAATCTGCAAGAAAGAGGAGAGTCTTTAGGCCATGTTCCTTCTCTCTTCTGATTCTTGGAACACCAATGTGTTGTATATAAAAACAAAAGTAGTTCCATCATTATCAATGACTGATACTTCACCCCTTTGTTAATTGAATCAAATAATATAGGAGATGTTTATTTTAAAATTTAATACCTCACCTTTCAGAGCAGGAATGCAAGGTGGTTTGCACTGATTCCAGCAATGTAATTAAATTAAATGTCATAAAGATACAATCAGGAGCAAATAAGTAGTAACAGTAATCCATATGTCAGTACTAGTTGTAAGGTAACGCCAAATGATTGATCCTACTATGTATATGTTTCATCACTGGAATCCTAAAATAGCCTCCTGAAAGCTAATCCTAATTTCATGTCCAAGTACTCAACATGTTTACTAATCCTTTGTTTGGGGCACCAGTTCTGCAACAATTAATGAGTCCATAATTCATTAAGCATTTTTGAGTTTCTTGGCAAGAAGGAGCATTTCCAATGTTATTAGAATCTTCTAAGGGAGTTGTTTTTGAATAAGAGGGTTACCAGTAATAATAATAATAATTCCTGCTTAATGAATCTAATATTCTTAATGAACACAGTGTCTCTTTTAAAAGAAGTCCCTGAGGGTTATATGTATTTAAAAACTTTACACATTAGTGGAGGACTTGATATTTCAGCTTCATTAATGCTTTCTAAGAGTGCAGATATCTCACAGATGGAAATCCCTTTTTCATCTAGGTAGTGCTAGTTAGAAAGAGATGGAATTAAATATATTTAACCATTAGCTTCAGGAGAAGCTACCTAATTATCAAGTTGATTGTAGAACCTGAATATCAGTTGTCTCATTTAGAGTTCATATCAAATTCCACCTGGCATTAATTCTACATTTGTCATACCAGGAGATAGGAAATTGCCCATTTAACAGGAAATTGCCCTTTAAAATAACTTGGATTGAATAATTTCACAAGATGGTTTAGGGAATATGTTTATCCAAAAAGAGAAGATAAACTATGCTAATTTTCTAACCCTCTGAATAATTAAGCTCAATGTGTTAGAGTGATCTAGTCAGTTTCTCATCCAATCCTATCTAACATAGGATATGTTGCAAGGTTAAAATGGGGGTGGAGAACCACAGATGATGTCCAGAGCTTTTTAGAGGAATGATGAGATTAAAGTATAGTAAATAAAATCATTAATAAATATGAATAGTCGGGGCAGCTTTCTAACATCCTGGAATTAATTAATTGCTCAGAAGTACACCCCACTGATAGCAGTATCATTTTATTCAGTGCAGTGTCTGCAATCTAGCAAAAGATTTTCACAGCTGGCTGCCATTTCTTAGATAAAAGTGAAAAACCCAGGTGATGCATGGAAGCTGTTTATTTTTGAGATCAGGGTGAATCATAGCTGTCATTTACTGGAATGCTTCACAGTAATATGCAGGTAGAAGATTTGATCTTCACAGAAAAGATCTCTGTGTTGTTTTCCTAACCCAGTACCTTAGAAATCATTTACTCCGTTCTGTATTTAGCGTGGCCGCAAATGATTTCCATCCAAAGGGGGATATCACCAAAGAAGGGGCATATATTTACATGTAATTTGTATATGCTGATATGGGTGTGTGTGTGTAAATGGACACTTATAAATAACTATTATAATATTGTAATTTAATTAGAAATCTGGTACGTCACACCTGTATGCAGAACACTGTCCAGTTGACCAGACTGCCTGTTCAGTCAGCTAGCCAAGTGCTCACTGGTGTTGGGCAGTGTTTGATATGGTTCTTTATCATTAAACTAGAATATATTTCATGGTTCTATTGCCCTTTAAAAAGGGGTGTGCTTCTTTTTTTTTCTTTTCCCATTATTTTAATAAGGATAAAGTAATGTTTATAGAATGTTAATTTTTGGGGTGACCCTTTATCTCCTGTGGAGTGAGCCCATATTTTACTGTGGTTTGTTCAACATTTCCTTTTCCCCAAATTGCTCATTTTCAAGGATTCACTAGTTTATTAGTCAACTCATTCAGTGATTTAGTGTGCAGTTAATCCTCAATGAATATTTGGAAAAAACAGATTGTTAAAGTATTCCCCTGTTTGCTTATTAACATTTCTTCAGATCTCTACTGGAGCCTTTCCTCTTGTCTAGTACTTTTTATGATCAAATTATGTTCCAAATTTTGATGAAGTTCAAATTTTGAACATTTTGAGTCCAGCATTTGAATTATTAATGTGATAAGAAGCCAGAGGCAATAGGAACAGGAAGTGTGACATGCTACTCTTTGAACATACCAAAGAAATATAATTTTAACTTTTGGAACACAGAAATAAAGCATAAGCTTCCTAGCACAGCAATTTTGTATTCATTGCTCTGGATTTAGCATGTTTCTGTTTAACAATAACATTTCATTATTTCTTGTAGAATTCCTGGGAGGTTAAATGACAGAAGAACGCCTCTGGGAGAATTGAACTGGATCTTTACAGCCATCACAGATACAATTGCATGGAATGTCCTACCCAGAGGTAAGACTATGGCAGATAAGCATAGACTTACGGGCAATATATATGTAGCTTGATCATAATAGAAGAGAACTGTATGGAAGAAAGAGCTAATGAGGGAAGATAAGGATCAGTGCGTATCCAGAAATAAAAAAGAAAGGACCAAACATATGCTATTGAACAGAGAAACAGGCTCCCACCAAACTCTATTCCCTTATGATATCAGGTGCCTTTGGATTAATATGCTTTTGGACTCCGTTTTTTTTCTTAATCATGTGCTTTATAGCTCTGTCTGAAAGCTGAAATTATTCTAGGACTTCAGGATATTGCACGCCAGTGATATGATGGCATTCAGGGGATACTACTGAATTAGATGTCTTTGAAGTTCTTATTATGACAATTCTGCAAAAATATAATTAGTCTTGATGCCTAGATGTAACATCTCAATTTGAAACCTCAGCTTAGTGTGCTTAAAACCTAAATATAAAATGGCATAGCTAGCTATTGCTACACTGATACAGATGTCCTTTTTAATGGTGATCATTTGCCTGCTCTTTATAGATGCCATCCATTTTTGTGTCTCTCTTGCAGATCTTTTCCAAAAGCTCTTCAGGCAGGATCTACTAGTGGCAAGTCTCTTTCGAAACTTCTTACTGGCAGAAAGGATAATGAGGTCCTACAACTGCACACCAGTTAGTAGTCCTCGTCTACCTCCAACTTACATGCATGCAATGTGGTAAGCTGATACCAGAAAATTGCCTTGATCTTTAAAGATTTCACATAGATGCCTAGCAGAAATTTTAGAAACTGCTCTCATGCAATGTTGTTTTCATGTATAACTCTGTAGTGTTTTTGTGATTGGTTAATATATGATACATGTATGAGAGATCACATGCAATTTAATACCCATATCCAAATATCTTTTTTCTTAGCTGTGCCATTATAAGAATGTTGCCATGTTTGCCTAAAGGAACTGAGATGCTTTTTTCTGCCCCAGAAGCTCTGCTTTATCAGAAATTGAGCTAGTTCACACCTCATAGCTATGGGTGCCAGTTCTGGGTTGTTTGTCCCCCAGCACCCCAGAGTTCCTAGTTTAGATATCACAGGTTGTGAGATCTCTGGTATCCCAGGCATTATCTCAGCAGGAGTGGGCAGCCAGAAACTTGCAGGCTTGTACCTGCTTTTCTTTTCAACAAATCACAGTGCTTAGCTAGGCCTTTGATATTTGCTTTGGAAGTAAAATTATGCTTTTAAAGAGGAATATAGGTAAAAATATTCTAATTCAAGAAATTTTCAGTTACCAGAAAATCACCATGGCCACCATCCAACTAAGCAGCTATAGTGCAGTTCAATTAAAATTTGTTCAGAAGTAAGTTCCATTGTGTTGCATGGAACTTGCTGCCAGTAGGGGTGCATAGGATTGCAGCCTTAATGTATCTAATTTTGCTATGTGTAAAATAGTAGGGAGTTGTTTTGACTATAGGAAATAAATCAATAAATGAATAAAATTTGAAGTCATGGACCTAAAATGGCTTTATGAATAGGGGAAACCAGTACAGAGGTGTCTATAACATTTAATTCCTGTCTTCTTTCTAATATGATGAATGTGAATGTACATGGCACAGTTATTATCAGGAGTCTTTTAAATTAATTTCTGATTAACAAGCATTCAAGAAAGGAAAGGAGGGGTGACCCAGCAATTCCTCTGGAAGCCTCTCTAATTAGAACCATAGTAACAAAATGTGTGAGTAAGCCATAACCTAGCAGAGTCTAGGTGACATGGTTTCAGAGAAAGCAATTTCACAACTATGTAACATACTTAAGAGTTTCTAAGGAAATAAAGGATTCAGGAGCACATCATCTGCTTGGATTTCCAAAAAAGAAAAAGGGTTTGATAGCATTTCTCCAATCAGTTGTTGAAAAGAGTGACAAAAATTAGTGTTCAGTACTGTGATAAGGCATAGTAAGTGAAATAACAATAACTGGGAGGCATAACATATGTACTTGATTAAGCAGTGGGGAAAGTATAATGAGGTATCAGTTCGGAGGAATAGTATCATGGGTATCTTTTGTTTAATTGTTTGCCACATGCAGGAGACATTGTATAATAAAAGTCATCATTAACTGAAAGCATTATCAAAGAGTTCCTTTAATGTGAATGAAGGCTTAAAGTGCTTAACTTGTATAGCAAAGAAGAAGATACATCTAGTTATTAGGCTGTTTCCTCTCCTTAGCTGTAAGAGCACATGCTCTATGGCTGTGGTGGTGAACCTATGGCATGTGTGCCACAGCAGGCATGCAGAGCCCTCTCTGTCGGCACTCAAGCCAAGTTGCCCCAGCAGCTGAGCATCGGATAACAGTGCACATAGGGGCCATGAGCATGCTCAGAAAGGAGTAGCAGCGCCAGGCGATGACATCATGAGCCACAACTCATTAGCCACGAATCATCCGAGCTTTCGCACAGCCGCTCAGTGCGCTGCCAAGGAAATATATATATATTTGCTTGGACTGGCTCTGAGTTGTTTTTTCTAAACTAAAACTTAATTTTTCAGGTTTTATTGTAGTGTTGGCACTTTACGATAAATAAGTGGGTTTTGGGTTGCAGTTTGGGCACTTGGTCTGTAAAAGGTTCGCCATCACTGCTCTATGGCAAGAGAATGCCCTTAACACACATATTTGCATAGGTGCTATATCTTCATGCCCCTGAAAAACAGTGACGTCTATTCTCCAAGTGTATGGGCAAGACCAGTGTTTTTTTCCTACCTGATCAGCAGCCATGCCAGAGGCTAGACTTGGGAGATCAGCACTATCCTAGAGGAGTTTGTGGAAAACTAAAGTAGTAGTTTGTAGTCAGTGACAGCATATTGCAGATAAAGGTACATAAGAAAGTTTTAAAGTCAAAATTCCATTGTCCCATAAATGGGGTGACATGCCCTTTTCTACTTTCCTGAGTTCCTAGAAAGGTAGAGGACAGGGGAAAAGGCCTGTTACAAACCCCGAAACTACAAGGTCTTGTTGGAAGGCAGTGATCTATGGAGTAATCACTTTTGTCAGCAAAGATCCTCTTTCAGTTCCTCTCCTCATTTGACAACTCACCACTTGTCAACTGTCAAATGGCAATTAAAGCAACAAGTTAACCTATGTGTAGTTGTTGGTGTCCATGGATGGTACCTTCAGTACTGACAAGGGGCACAACAAGCTAAGGCAGGGGTCTCAAACTCGACTTACCTGGGGGCCGCTGGAAGTAGAGTCTGGGTGGCATCAAGTATTCCACTCCCACGGTGGTGGTGGGCTGCTCATCCCGCGTCGCTCCCGGAGGTGCTTTGAAGGCCACAGGGCCCCTCCCCGTGCCCCGCCCGGCCCGGCAATTGGCCCGCGGGCCGCGAGTTGGAGACCCCTGAGCTAAGGCAATGCATTTGAGCTAGTCGGATTTTGACAAGGCAATGCAGTGCATTTGGGATAATCAGAGTTAACACCTGAACAATTTCAAACTAGTGTCAAAGGAAGGAAGGAGGGAAGGAAGAAAGGAGCAAAAAATCTTGGGTGTGCACGCATGCGCACAAAATCAAAGCAGTGACAGCAGTTCTATTGTGTTACTTGGCCAGTCTTCAGAGGGTGCCAGTGGTAGTCACTTCGGAGATCACAAAAAGTGATCACACACACATACCCCAAAAGCCACAGAGACCACAAAAAGGGGTTGCAGTCATGGTGAAGAGGGAAGACAAGGCAGCTTATGCTGTGGAGTCCCCTGCTAGATGGGAGCAAATATCTTGACAGGCCAACCGGTATTGTCCACAAAGCCCATGCATCACCCTAGATCAGGGTCCTCAAACATTTTCAACAGGGGGCCAGTTGAAAGGCACCGGCGGTGGGCGCAGGCTGGTGAGGTGGGGGTGCCTGTGGGTGCAGGCTGGTCAGGGGGTGGGGGCGGGGGCAGCGGGTACGTGCATGTGGCGAGGCGAGGTGAAGCAGCGGCGGGCATGTGTGCGGCAAGGCCAGGCACAGCGGTGGCTTGCTCACGTGGAGACTGATTTCTCTGAGCGAGTCCACAACTTCCGAGGTGGGCCAGATAAATGGGCATGGCGGGCAGAATCTGGTCTGTGGGCCATAGTTTGAGGACCCATGCTCTAGATGATAATTTTGTCACCTTTTGCATCTTTCTAGTTAAATTGTATTATAGGTCTCAGTGTTCCTTTCCTGTAGATGCTTGAGTTAATTGTGGATTGACCCATCCTTTGATAGTTTTTGCAAGCTACAGCTTCCGTTTGCTAAATTATATGATATGCTTCTGTTTTGACTGTATTAGTTATTATAGGCATGTACTGCCACATTGCTGCACATTTATGTGAATGTGAGATTTGTATGCTATTTATGGAGTGAAAAAGTTAAATGAACCACTCTCTTTTTGATAATGCTGTGGAAATGTGATAGAGCAATTAAACCCTGAAAAAATAATTTCTTTTTCTGTTTACTATTGGTGCTGAGGGAGAAGCAAAGTAGTAAAATATGTTGGGCAAGGAGGATCCTGCCTTTGAAGTGGGTGTCTGTGCTTAGTCAGATATACTTGCTTCTCATCTTGTTCTTCATTCGGATGATTAGAACTTGGGCCACCAACTACATTATAGATGAGTTTCTTTGGATGTAATCCTAAGTGTTTGTTTAATATCATGAAAACAAGTTTAGATGGCCAACTTCAATATTGGGTTGAATCAGACTGTAGTAACACTTAGAATTATTTGACAGCAGTAGGGCAAAAGTTAGTTATGGACCTTCTCTAAATATGTTAGATAATGTTATGATTAGTTTGACTCTAACTCATAATTTATAAAGCAGGCTTATAGGAACTGTTGTTGTTGTTGTTAGTCGCGAAGTCGTGTCCAACCAATTGCGACCCCATGGGCAACATTCCTCCAGGCCTTCCTGTCCTCCACCATCCCCAGAGTCCACTTAAGCTCACGCCGACTGCTTCAGTGACTCCATCTGGCCACCTCCTTCTCTGCTGTCTCCTTTTTTGCCTTCAATTGTTCCCAGCATCAGGCTCTTCTCCAGGGAGTCCTTCCTTCTCATTTGGTGGCCAAAGTATTTGAGTTTCATCTTTAGTATCTGGCCTTCTAAAGAAATAGGAACTGTAGTAACACTTAACTAACTCAGTTTCATCTGAAATAGAAGAATACACTTCTGTGCTCATAACCCTGCCAGTGAAACAAAGGGTAGAGCACATGAATCTTAGGAAAAGCTTTACATCCAAATATAGCCATAAAATTGAGTGGATTCTGAGCTTTTTTTTAATACATACCCATCATCTGAATTCTTGCAGGTAGAGCTGTAAAACAGACCTTTTTACAAAATTATACATGTTTGTTTCTCATGCATAATGAATAGTCCACACCTTTTTTCTGAAGATGCGCTCAAGTTTTTTTTTTCTTTCAGATACGGCACTGCCCCAGATTGCTGAGTTCTCTTGATAGGAGAGCAGTTGCACCTGCTATGTTCAATGAAATTGCTGTACTAGGAAGAGTTCTGAACACTGTATGTCTTTGAACAAACTAGTTCTACTGCAGTTGCACAGCTTAGTGATTACAAGTGCCATTATTGTATACTGGGGATCAGTCTTGGACAGTGTTGTTTTTACAGCTCTTGTGCGCTGTTTTCAACAACAGCAGAATTTAGTATTCCAGTTCCTCCCTTCTGTCTAGCTCCTGCCTTCACTGCTTCTACCTAGCTGGAAGCCAGAGT